GTCCCTCTCCTCGGCTCCCTCAAAGGGTTTTGCAAGGACTGACCATTTTAAGCACGTGTCAGCGAAATCCAACTTCCCTGCTTGGATTGTCTAACACAACATTTGCAATGCCTCAGACTTCAGAGTTTTCCAAACCCCTCAGGACTGCAAGGCTAATTTGGGCCAGTGTCTGGAGTTTTACAAGGCCCAGATGAAGTAGTACTCTATTAATTTTCTCTTCCCTTCCTTATAACCCCATGTACCTGGCACTGCTTGAGAAAACACATGGGAAGTGCTCTGTGAAGAAGCCAGGATCACTGGGCAAGGGTGGACCTTCCCTCCTACTGCTCTGACACACAGCAGGGTCAAAAGAGACCCTGTCACCACAGGGGCAAGATGGTCCATCTGCAGCAGTGAGAGTCACCACTGCCCCTTGCTCCCAGTCCAGCTCTGAACCTCAATGCTTCTGGGTCCCCAGGCTGGCATGGGCAGTGCTTGGTGACAGCCAAGAGTGCCCGGGCAAAGAAAACACCAGTGAGAGCTGCTGATGCTGTGAAGGGTCTGCAGCTAAACAAAACTATTGCTTGTCTGAAACATTCCCAAAGCATTGTCAAACTTGTTCTAGCTCAGTAACTAGCTAAAGAGTGAAAAGGACCCATCCCCTAGTGTAGAGCACAGCTTCACTACAGGTTTTTAAATTGTGATGAGCTATTGTTTCCCCAGGGAAACACACAAGTGCTCGAGTGCTCAGGCTCTCCATACAATTCAAGTTTAAGTTTTTTGTTATTTGGTACCAGGCACAGAGACCTGTGCAGTTCCCAGCACCCTACACTTCCCCAAACACCTTCATCACCCAAATTTCTACTACCACGTATTTTAAAACCTCAGCAATTCCCTTAACGAGTCTCAGAACATAGGCATCTTTTGAAGCCCTTGCTCGAGTTACATGACTTTGCACAACCATCAGCTTCCAAACATATGGCTCTCCAGGCTGTAATGTCACAAGTATCCCCCAAAATCCTGACTTCCCAAAAGACTAGCACCCAAAAATCAGCTGCCTGCTGGTCACACTGGCACACTTGGACAGGTGCCTGTAGGAGCCAGACGCTCCACAATGTACCCTCTAATACATGAAAACACAGAAGTCAGGGCAGGAATAAGACCAAAACATTTACAAGCACAGGCTGGAGTGAGTAGCTATGTTGGATAATGAATCTCCTTTAATATTTCTCCCCCAAGAAGCAATCAAACTTCCACTTATTCTAGGGCAAACTCAAAAGGTTTTATTTTATTATTTTTTTTAGCAAATTCTATCACGTAAATGTTAACAAAAAACATCTGTACAATTGCCATGATACACTCAAAAGTGAAACAAATAAGATATAAATACAGATATGGATGTAACATGACAAAAGCAGAAAAAATAGAAAAAAATACATGCGCATGAACACGGTGCCAACAAAGTCATTTCTCATGGCTGGCATTTTTCAGAGCAGTTTTTACTTCCCATTTAAACATTGTTAGCAACGTCCTGCTGTATACTACAAAGTTCTATTTTTCTGTCCCTTAATATGTAATATTATGCTTGATAAATAAAGGGGTGGGGAGAAAAGGTTTTGATGACAAAGATGCGAGTTACATTACTTATACAGGTTATTGGTAAGCTAGTAATAAGCAATTAAAAAGACAGTCTCGTATTGTATTGTAATCCAGGCAAGCACACATAGTGTACCTTAAGAAAGCCACATGCCTTGATATTTCTGCACTACATGAGAACTACAGTACGTAGACCTGTGGGGCGAATGGAGCCAGGATTTGCCCATGCCCACGGAGCACTGGTGCAGCCAATGGCAGAAAAAACATCCACATCTGAGATTTCGGCAACCTTGCAGCCAAGAGCTGCTGTCTGCTGAGAGTTTTCTCCCATTCAGGTTTTTAAAGCATGGTGGGCAAAGAAAATACACTCTGTTCTTCTTTTTTTTCTTTTCTTTTCTTTTTTTTTTTTTTTTTGTTTTTCTTTTAAAGGTACGAAAAATTGAAGCCCTGCATCATGGGCAGCAAGAAAAAAAAAAGGCAGCTGCAGTAGGTGGCTACTGCCAGGAGAATGTGAACACAAGCTTCACCAGTGTGGTGAGGCACTGCAGCATGCAGACCTTCCTCTGCAAGCGTGCGTGGACATTGATTTGTAGCCAGAGAGACCTTTATGCTTGCTGAAGAGAAAACAAAACGATTGTACAGCTTGTCGAAGTCAAAACTGGAGATCAGAGAGGTGACATTCAGAGCTAGCCCTTTGAGTACTTCAAAGGAAACACAAAATAAAAACTGGGTCGTGTTCAACATACTAAACAACCTTACTATGTACATTATACGCAATGACTTATAAATACCTAAGCAGAATGCTCTCTACTGTATACAGGTATAACATACTTCTAGAGTACTCAAAGGATGAACAGTCCTCAACTGACTCACGGAACAAAATTAAGTAGCACATAAATGAGCATCTGTTGACAAACAGAACTGAATCTCATTCAGAAAGTAAGGCCTGGTTTTACCACTTGCAGCCCCAAGGGTGCCAATAGCATGGGGAAGCACAGGCTGGTCGCTGGTCGCAGCAGGTCGCGCGTGCGCCGAGGACTCCGACAGAGGTGTCAGGTCAGGGACGTTACAGTGCGTTCACTCTCAGTGCATACTAACAGGATTTTATAAAATATATAAAATCGTTTGAGAAGGAATTCAATTCCTGGAGGTTTGCTACAGTGTGCCATTCAAAGGGAAAAAAACCAAAACCAACAAACAGCGAATGATGATGGATCAAGCTCCATCACAGCTGGGAGGGACTAATCACCACCTGGTCAGCTATGCTGACACTCTGAACCCCAGAACTGGAACAGAGGATGCTGAACTGAGATGGGGAGAAAGAGAGGCATAAATACTAAGTGGTTAAAAGTACAAGTAAAAAAAAAAAACAAACACCCAACAAAAAAAAACTAACCCACTACTAAAAATTCAAACAAGACAGCTAACTGCTGCCAACAAGTCAACTGAATATTTCCTCAAAAGGAAAAATTAATTTGTGTTAAAAGAAAATTCGAGCCGTTCAAAAAAATTAAAAAAGAGTATTCTAGCAAGCATACTGAAAGATGTTGAAAAGAAATGGTCCACAGAAAGGGAGACACAAACCATGGAGCAGCCAATCCTCCCTTTAGTGAGGATGGCTTTTCTGAGCCTGTGGAAAGACCCTGGGGGCATCCCCCACACCAGGATTGCACACAGTTTCCCCTGCCATGGCATTACTTGTTGGGAAAGATGAAGGAACTAGCCCTGAAGCCAGCAAAAGCCTGGACAAGTATAAATCA